GCGCGCCGGCGCTAGCGGCTGAGGTTGGCTCACCATCCCTGCCCCTGCCGTGCCCGGCCCGGGGAGTCGCGTTTGCCGAAGCGGTCAGTGCTGGCGGGGGAGCGCGGGGCGCCGCACGTGCAGGGGGGAGGCGGCCCCCGGGGCCCGCCCCCCGGCCCGAGTCTCGACTCCTCCCCGGACTCCATCTTCCTCCTCCGGGTCCCTCCCGTCTGTCCCAGCTGCCCCAGCCTGAAGCCCCCTTCGTTGGTCGCACGATAGAGTCACTGGAGTGTTGTATCCGGGAGGTGTCTGCGGCGTCGGACACATAGGGCGGTCGCTCTGGCGTGGGGACGTTCTGTTTGGAAGTGATGAACGGCTTTGCCTCCGGCGGGGGCCCCCGCCGCACTTGACCATTTAACGTAATTCACAAGAAATATCAAAAATGCTGTTCTTCAGTCGTCCTTACCCCATGTCGAGTGCCTGTCGGGTAACAAATATGTAGATTGCCCCCCTTGTCGCCGCGAGTTCGATTGTTGTCCCAAAAGATGGGACCTAGATAGAGGATCAGTCGGTGTAGCTTTAGGCAGGTGTGCCCTCTTCGGATTCTGCCTCGGCCACTGGGCAAGGATTGCACCCCTGTGAAGCGTGTTCTCATGTTCTCTTTTTGCAGACTGATTTCCCAAGCGTTGGAGTAACAGTAGAGAAAAATGCCTATTGGATGCAAGGAGAGGCCAACTTTTTTTGAAATTTTTAAGACGCGATGCAGCCAAGCAGGTATTGACGAGATTTTATATAGACCGATCAATCATACTGAGTAAATGTTTTCAGAAAGATATGTAAATATGCATGCTTGCCGGAAAGAATCCGACACTTCACGTGCTTTGTTTGCACTATAAATGTTCTTTATGGAGTCATAAGTCGTAAGAAAATGATCATTTACAGTTAACCAAATGATAAGAAACTGTATAGCAGCCCCAGTGGATGAAGAGGAGACTGGCCCCTTAGCAGTAGAAAGAATGTTTTTTAAAGCACAGAACCCCTAGCAAATCAGAATCATTGGTGATGTGACTCTAAAGCAGAAGTTGTCTTAGTACTTGGTGTGGTCTCAGTACTTTTTTACCTCAAATAGCTTTTATATAGGTTGCCATTTTAGAAATTAAAACTAAGAACTTTTAAAAATATTTAATAATTATCCATATTGTAACATTATGCATTGATTATTTGGAAAATGTCTGTTCTGAATTACACAGATATTGCTTGTGTTGACACATCAGAAGTTGTCTTAGTACTTGGTGTGGTCTCAGTACTTTTTTACCTCAAATAGCTTTTATATAGGTTGCCATTTTAGAAATCAAAACTAAGAACTTTTAAAAATATTTAATAATTCACTTAAAAATAACATCCACTGCATGTTAACATGAATTATTTTTTATGAAAAATAACTTTTCCCAAAAAAGTGGCATTGTTTTACAAGTTTGCCATTCTCTTTAATATCTGGCTTAATAGAAGATAGTGGATTCTCATACCTGTTGCTGTATCTAATCTGTTGCAATATGTTTGCTTTGGTAGAAGTCTATGAAGAAAATCTAGCCTCACACATCTAGCTGGCGGGGGCGGGGGCGAGGAGGAAGTATTGAAATAGTCTTCAGTTAATTGTGGGTATTTTTCTTTGATGCTACGCTGAAATTTAAGACAAGTAGTCTTAAAAGTTGCAGTGTGGAATCTGAAACCAAATAATGAACTATTCATACTTTGGGTACGTTAAGTTCTATTAATAGGTATTTCTTGCACTTTGAATAAATCTTTTATCCATATTTAACATTATGCATTGATTATTTGGAAAATGTCTGTGTTCTGAATTACACAAATATTGCTTGTGTTGACACACTGCATTAAACAGTATTTAAAAGATCACATTTGTTAGTTGTGACTAATAGATGACATTCACTGATGTCATCAGAAAAGTCGTTTAAGATAGGTGGGATGTCAGCTTCACTGTGGCTGGTAAAGCTTAACAAAATTCTGATTCTCATTTGAAGGCTCGCATTTTTTCATCGGCAACAAACCATCTGTTGTTTTTCCCGCAGTGACAGGCTCACTTCATTCATTTTCAGAAAACCTTCTCCACAGTCACCCAACTCAAAATGATTTAGTTTGTCAGTCATTCTTTCTAATAAAAATGGATTTCCATGAAAAAAATGCTAGTTCAGCTCACAGCTCATCATGTGAATGCTTTTCTAGACAATTACTGTACTTAGATCCTTTATGCATACTTTCCATTTTGTCACAGTATTAAAAAGATGTGCTAAAGGGTTTGGCTTTAATAAAACTAATTCGTACGGCTTATTTAAGGATATTTGAAGTTAAACTGGCTTTTAGTTTTTTGGGTTTTTTTTACAAGTGCAGGTGATAAAGAATACAGTGACTGCTTGCACAGTGTATTGCCACTGCCTTGACTCATGCAAAGGTGTCAACCCTGTGAAAAAGATATGATGCCTTAGTATTATTGTGACAAGAGTTTTGACCTTTTGGACCTCCTACAGGGTCTTGGGGACATTGCCCCCAAGTGGTCCACAGACCACAGTCTAAGAGCCAATGCTTTAAGGGTGGGTAGATCATACTAGAAGCTTTATCATTTCTCTCTGACGTTTCTCCTTTATTCTCTTCTAGTCATAGTCTGCCTGTTCCTTATACCCACAGATTTATTATGTCCTTTATGTAGTCTTTATAAACGTTTGAATTGTGTCTGTGGAATGCATCCTTACTATGGTTTTTGTTTCTGAATGGTGAACATAAAACTTTAGAAGAGCTAATGTAGCTAAGATCTATCTCCCTGTAACTTTTGTAAACTTGTTACACTGTAATGCAGATGTGCAAGAGAACAGACAAATGAACCTGTTTAATGAATATGCTTTAACAAAAGTCACCACAGACATAGTCTCAAGCATCCTTTTCTTTGTTATGATCTGTACTGTCTCACAAATTTTTCTGTGTCTCTTATTAAAACCAAGATAAGATTTTTATTTTTCTTATAGATTTAGGACCAATAAGCCTTAATTGGTTTGAAGAACTTTCTTCAGAAGCTCCACTCTATAATTCTGAAACTGCAGAAGATTCTGAATATAAAATCAGCAGTTGTGAACCAAACCTATTTAAAACACCACAGAGGAAACCTTATCAGCAATTGGCTTCAACTCCAGTAATATTCAAAGAGCAAGATCTAACTCTGCCACTGTACCAGTCTCCTTTAAAAGGATTAGATAAAGACAGATTAAATCTAGGTAAGTTATGGATGCAGACTAGGGAAAACTACGAACTAGGGATTCAGACAAACCCGTGTTAAGAATCCCAGCTCTGTCATTAACTCTGTCGGGTTGGTCAGATCAACCTCTGGCCTCACTTTCCCCACCTAAAAAATGGAGATGATGAAAATAGTATCCGATAAGTTCGGATTAAATAAAATATTGTAGGTACTTAATAAATATTCCTTTTCTCCCTCCTGCCTACTGAGAATTGCTAAATTATATCTTTCCTACACCAAAAAATCTAAGACTTGTTTTGATGTTAATTAAACTAAGCTATATTTCTGCAAGCTATCAGAGAGGACAGATTATTTTTATCAATTTGCTGTATATGTCCTTTGATTTGGTAGCAGTTTCCCTGGTCTACATACATGTCAAGTGTTTCCAGTCAATCGTAATAAAATTATATGTTGTCATTGAAATACTTATTACCTGCTTGACTTAAGTAGCACTGTCTCCCTTTCTCTGGAGACCTGTTCTCCAGTGAGGGGTTACAGCGCGCAGATGAAGTCTAGTCTGAGGCTGATGTTATACCTGGCACGAGAGACGTACAAAAGTACAGTGAGAGTTGAGAAGAGAGAGCATAAATAAATAGTATAGGGGGAGTTAGGAAATAGTTCATTTGAGTTAGACCTTGAAGGATAGGTGAGATTCAGAAACTTGAAAACGGGGTAGAGAGAGTGTTCTCACTCAGAGGGAAAACATGAAGAAAAATATGTTAAGAGAATAGCAAGTAATTCAGATCTTTGGAGTGCTGAATCTGACACGGACCAATAAACAAGCTAAGACTAAAAAGAACAGATTAGAGACAGGCGCTGAATGCCAGGCTGCTGAAATTGAATTTATTTGCAAATTTGATCATGCTACTTCCTGCTTCAAACCTTTGATTACCTACCGCCCCTTTGCTCTCATTATAAAATCCAGACTCCTTACTCCCTACAGGGCCCTTTATAATCTGGTCTCATTAACTCTTGCTTCCCCTTGCCTTAACCCATCCTCAAATTACCATTCTTACTGAATTTCTTTTTGAAATCACAAGGTTCTGTGGCTCTCTGCACTTCAGCCCCTTTCCCAGAATTTACTTCTGACTTAGATTTCAGCTCTTCATTTAGCTTCTAGTGAAGAAGATTTACATAAGCAATTATAGTGCAATAAATGCTGTGAAAGAGGAAATCAGCGGTACTAGAAAATGCGCATATGAAGGGGAGACAGGCAGTGGGAAGAGGTTTCCTGAGGCATGCTCCTTGAGCATTCACTAAGTAATTGTGGAATAAATGAGTATAGTTTTGCTTTAGAAAGCCTGATAATTGACAGCAGTCTTTGGAGATGTGTTTTTCAAAATGCGATGCCTGGGAACCATCAGATGCTCCTGAGGTGCCGATTGGAAAGGAAGCTTGCAGGCCCTAATCTGAAGTTGAGCAGAATCTAGAAACGGAGGCCTTCAGTGCACATTTTAAAGTAACTGGGTGACTTGTGGAAAGAGAAGATTGGAGGCGGGGAGGTCGGCTGGAGACATGCAGGGACCCAGGGGACAGGAGGCAAGTGCCAGAATCAGGGTGCTGGTAGTGATGGTGCCCGTGGAAGGTGGAAACCGCGGGACCCTGCAATAACCTAGAGAATTATGTCACAGGTGTGGAGCATGACTAAGCTGAAGTACAGTGGTGACACAGAAATTGTAAGCACTGGAGGAAAAGCAGATTGGAGAAGAAAAGGTTTGAAAGGATGAAAAATAGGTCGTGTTTGGACTGCAGGTTGAGATGGTAATGGGACGTTAAGATGGCGATGCCCTGCAGGCTTGTGGGGATACCAGACAAGCTGAAGAGAGAGCAGATGGAGAGAAAGCTACGCAGGGGTCGGCTGTTTAGAAAGTGACAGTCATCACACGGTGAGAAAAGCAGCTACCGCGAGGCCTGGCGAGAGCTGTAGGGAGTGTTAGGTGGAGGAGATGGCGGAGGAGAAGCAGAAGGGGCATCATCCATCTTATTCCGCGCTCCCTTGCCTGGCTTGCTGGGCGTTACGGATGCCAATATAAATTAGATATGGCCTCGAACCCTAGCACCTCGCCTTGTTTGGAAGAAGACAGATAAGTCTACC